GTAAAATGGAGGGAACAGCAATTTATAGGATTCTAGTGAGATTTAGGAGTAATGTCTGTAATACTCACAGGACGCTAGCCTGGAAAATAGTAGGTGCTGAATAAATAGAGATGTTATATTCTCTTTTCAGCTTTTATACCTTTAAGTGTCTAAAAATGTTGCATTCGAACATTCATACACACACACACACACACACACACAAATATGAACAGGAAGAAAAGTAAAAGGAAAATATCAACATATTAATAATCACTAGTTTCAGATGAACCACTGTACAAACAAAAAATAAAATAAACTTTAAAAAATAACTGCAGGGTCATAATAATTTTTAACATCCAGGTAATACCTAATGAGTATATTCATCTCATATTCCCCTCGTCTCCTGACCAGATGTGACCAGATGGTTAGGCTTTTGTGTGAAGTATTTACACCTTTGATCTTGACATTTTTGTAATTCATATATATTTGCCTGAAGAAGACTGTATTGCTTTATGTGTTTCCTCTAAAAGTACTATCCCTTATGTGTCATTCTGTATCTTGCTTTTTTCATGCAACACAGTGTTTTTGAAATCACATCATGCTGCTACAAGTGTATCTAATTAATTCCTTTTATTACCATATTGTATTATATGAATATACCATAATTTGTTTATTCCACTTTTGATGGACCTTTAGGCTCTTTTAATTTTTTCACTCATACAAGCAATGCCACAATGAATAATCTTGCATGTCTCTCTCCAGTGCGCATCGGTGTTTTTTTGAGACAGAACTCCTAGAATCTCTTGGAAGATTGTGCATGTGTTAAGCTGTAATAAACACTACCAATTGCCCTTCAGAAGGACTATCCTTGTTCTCTAGAACTTTGCCCAAACTTAATTGAATCAAGTTTTAAAGTGTTCTCCAATTTGATGGATAAAGAATCACACTGTCTTGATTTTTTTATTTTGAAATAATTATTGATTAATAGGAAGTTCAAAGATAGTACAGAGAGGTCCCTTGTCCATTTTACTCAGTTTCTTTCAATGGCTACATCTAATATAATTATAGTACAATATCACACCAGAAAATCAACATTGGTATAAAGAATGTATAGTTCTATGTCATTTTACTATATGTGCAGAGCCATGGAAACATAACCATAATTAAGATATAGAACTATCTCATTCCCCCAAAGATCTCCCTCATGCTACCCCTTGATAGTCAGACCTGCCCATCCCCACAAACTCTAACTGCTTATCTGTTCTCCATCCCTATAATTGTGTCATTTTCATACAATTATATAAATACAATCGGACAGTGTGTGACCTTTGAAGATTGACTTTTTTCACTCAGAATAATACCCTTGAGATCCACCTAAGGTGTTGCATTTACTGATAATTTGTTCCTCTTTATTGCTGAGTAATATATCATGGCAGATATTACTGTGGTTTGTCCAATCCTTCACCTATCATAGGACATTTTGGTTGTTTCCAGTTTGGAAATATCACAAATAAAGCTGCTATGAGCACCATGGGCAGGTTTTTGTGGGGATACAAGATTTCATTTCTCTGGGAAATGCCAAGGGTGCAGTAAGGGCTAGGTCACATCACAAGCATATGTTTAGTTTTTTAAGAAACGGACATACTATTTTCCAGAGTGGTTGTATCATTTTATATTCCCTCCAGTGATGTGTGAGAGATCAATTTCTCCACATTTTTGCCACCATTTTGTGTCGCCACTATGTCTTATTTTAGCTGTTCTAATTAGTGTGTGGTGGTATTGTTTGCTGGTCTTAATTCACATTTCCCTAAATGCCAGTGATGCTGAACAACTTTTCATGAACTTATTTGCCATCTGTATGTCTACTTCTATGAAGTGTCTTTTCATATATTTTGCTCATTTTATACTTGGATGTTTATGTTTCTTTTACAGTGATATTTGAGTGTCCTTTATAAATCTATGTATTCTAGATATGAGTCCTTACATAGGGGGTGAGAGTTCAGGCTCCCCAAGTGGTTCCGATGATGGACATGAGAGTGGTTCATTACCATCAGGAGGAGAAAAAGTCCAGACCAGACTTCTCCCTTGGCCTTCTCTGACATCACCACCTCGACAAGGTGTATTAGTCTGTTCTCACACTGCTAATAAAGACATACCTGAGACTCGGTAATTTATAAAGGAAAGAGGATGAATTGATTCACAGTTCAGCATGGATGGAGAGGCCTCAGGAAACTTACAATCCTGGGGGAAGGGAAAGCAGACACATCCTTCTTCACATGGCAGCAGGAAGGAGAAGTGCTGAGCAAAGGGCAAAAGCCCGTTATAAAACCTCACGAGAACTCACTTTCACAAGAACAGCAAGGGAGTAACTGCCCCTATGATCCAATCACCTCCCACTGAATCCCTCCAGTGGGGACTACAGTGCAAGATAATATTTGAATGGGGACACAGCCAAACCATGTCACAGGGGGAGGGGCTGTGGGGAAGCAAGGAGTGCTCAGTAGAGCTTTTCCAGAGTGGAAGTTTAAGTTACCCTCTTGCACTTCACTGGCAGAGGCAGAGTGGGCCACGATTTTTTTCTGTGGTCTCTGCTGGGAAAGATCAGTTCATACCTAAGAGTTTTCTGTCTTGCTAGGCTGCCCCTCTTTTGGTCTTTTAACCAGAGAGAGGCTTTTCCTGCTCTATGTCTGTGGCATTTACTGGTTGCCCATTTCTTTAGCATCTCATCTTTGGGACAAAAATAAAACCCACGGAAATCATCACCCTATTGTTTCTCAGATTTTGAGATCTCTAGCTGGTCTGCCTTCTTCTCTGCACTGTTTAGTCTTCTCATGTTGTTTTATATCTACTGTCCATCTTTTTTAACTGTACTTAGCAGGAGAAATGGGGGGAAATACTTCTACTTCATCTTTTCAGAAGTAGAATGCATACCCCATTGTTCTAATGTGCTTTTGCTTAATTAGTGAGGTTGAGTATCATTTTATGTGTTCCCTGGACATTTGATTTCCCCTCTCTAGAATTGCCTGTCTCTTCATACATACCTTTGTCTACTGTTTCTACTCGATTAATTATATTTTTCTTAATGATTTGTAGTTCTTTTTTTTTTTTCCTTTTGAGACAAAGTGTTGCTCTGTCGCCCAGGCTGGAGTGCAGTGGTGCAATCTCGGCTCACTGCAAACTCCACCTCACAGGTTCAAGAGACTCTCCTGCCTCAGCCTCCTGAGTAGCTGTGATTACAAGCATCCACCACCACACCCGGCTAATTTTTGTAATTTTAATACAGACGGGGATTCACCATATTGGTCAGGCTGGTCTTGAACTCCTGACTTCAAGTGATCCTCTTGCCTTGGCCTCCCAAGGTGCTGGGATTACAGGGTGAGCCACCACACTCAGCCTAGTGTTTTATATATTCTGAATATTATTCCTTTGTCAATTTATGTGTTGCATATATTTTCCAAGTCTGTTCACTTGTTTTTGTTTTTGCTTATAACGGTTTTGTCACCCAGAGGCCTTTACATTTTAATGCAGTCAGCATGTTGCCTTTTAATAATGAAAATATAAGAACTGTATACATATCCGGGCAGAAGATGGTGGCTGGCGAAGGGAGCAGGTACTTCTGCAATTTGTCAAGGTATGCTCTGTAAGATGATCTCTATCACAGAAGCTGTCAAGCAGGAGGCCGCCCTGGCTGTGCACACGCTGCAAAGCGTGGGTGTGGACATGGTCTCATCACGGGGGACAACAGAAGACAGCCAGAGCCATTGCCACCCAGGTTGGCATCAACAAAGTCTTTGCAGAGGTGTTGCCTTCGCACAAGGTGGCCAAGGTTCAGGAGCTCCAGAACAAAGGGAAGAAAGTTGCCATGGTGGGGAATGGGGTCGATGATTCCCCGGCCTTGGCCCAGGCAGACGTGGGCATTGCCATTGGCACCAGCACTGATGTGGCCATCGAGGCAGCCAACGTCGTCCTCATCAGAAATTATTTGCTGGACATGGTGGCTAGCATTCACCTTTCCAAGATGACTGTCTGGAGGATGCGCATCCACCTGGTCCTGGCACTGATTTGTAGCCTGGTTGGGATACCCATCGCTGCAGGAGCGAGCTTTCCAGGTGAGTTGAAGATATGTGCATGGGTGGGAGATGATGGCTCATTGCAGGGTGAGGCATCATCCGTGTTGAAGGAGTGCCAGTGTTTCAGAAATGGACACAGAGCAGGTAAGTTTGATGGACAGGTAAGAGAATCACTTTCTATGTGCCAGCACTGTTCTAAGTGCCCTGGATCTTCTGGGGATGAGATTAGTGTTTTTCAGTTGTACATGGGACAGTTGAGGATCATGCTAGGCAGAGTGAGACCTCTCCTGGAAGAAGTTAATCTAAAAAGCATAATCTGTCTCATTTGGGAGGAGCTAAATAAATATCTCTTCAATGAAGCAAAGGTCAATCAGAAAATTTGTATTTTAGCTATAAAATTACCTATCAGAATTTACCATGAGGCTTAATCTTAGTCAAACACCCAAATTAATGATTTCAGACCACAGATACTGAAACACCAAAGTGATAAAGGGGCAGGTATTTCAGCTAGCTACTGCTGCATAACAAATGACCCCAAAGTCAGTTTAGTGACTTAAAACAATGATTTGTTATTCCTTATCATTCTGTCAGCTGGGAGGTTCTTCCGCTAGCCTCACCTGGGCTCATGCACAAGGCTACATTTAGCTAGGGTGTCAGCTTGGGACGGGCATAGCTGGGATACTGGGTCACCTAAGTCTTTCTCTCTATGTGGTGGTGTTTTAAAATATAGGTTTTAGCGCTTCCTCAGGATGTAAAGTGTAACAAGGGGGCCGGGGTGGGCAATGTGGGTCTGTGAGGCCTATGGGTGCCCGAGTCCCCTAGCTCCCCCCGCAGCCGGCTCCGCAGTGGTACGCTCCGGTTGTCCGTTGGGGATTCGGGTTCCAGATGGAATGCTGCGTCTTCGACGCCGCTTGTTGTGGCCGGGGTTACTGCAGCCACCGCCACAGCAGCTCTGGTGCTATGGAGGAGCCTAAGGCTAACCCTCAGCCGTACTTGGGGCTAGTCTTGGAGTTGCTGCGCAGGGTTGTGGCAGCACTGCCTGAAGGTATGAAACCAGATTCTCATCCTTATGATTTTCCATGGGAATTGGTGATACGGGCAGCTGTTGTGGGAATTTTTGCTGTTCTCTTCTTGTGGAGAAGTTTTAGATCAGTTACGAGTCGGCTTTATGTGAGAAGAGAGAAAAAGCTCGCTGTGGCACTTTCTGGACTAATTGAGGAAAAATGTAAACTACTTGAAAAATTTAGCCTTGTTCAAAAAGAGTATGAAGGCTACGAAGTAGAGTCATCTTTAAAGGATGCCAGTTTTGAGAGAGCGACAACAGAAGCACAAAGTTTGGAGGCAACCTGTGAAAAGCTGAACAGGTTCAATTCTGAACTTCAGCATGATGTACTCTGTCTAGAAAAAGAGTTAAAAGAAGAGAAATCTAAACATTCTGAACAAAATGAATTGATGGCAGATATTTCCAAAAGGATACAGTCACTAGAAGATGAGTCAAAATCCCTCAAATCACAAGTAGCTGAAGCCAAAATGACTTTTAAGAGATTTCAAATGAATGCAGAACGACTGCAGATAGAAATACAAGATGCTTTGAATGAAAATTCTCAACTTCAAGAAAACCAGAAACAGCTTTTGCAAGAAGCTGAAGTATGGAAAGAACAAGGGCGTGAACTTATTAAACAGAAAAGAACATTTGAAGACTCCAAAGTACACGCAGAACAAGTTTTAAATGATAAAGAAAATCACATCAGGACTCTGACTGAACGCTTGCTAAAGATGAAAGATCAGACTGCTATGCTTCGAGAAGACATAACGGATGATGATAACTTGGAATTAGAAATGAACAATGAATCGGAAGATGGTGCTTACTTAGATAATCCTCCAAAAGGAGCTTTGAAGAAACTGATTCATGCTGCTACGTTATGTGCTTCTTTAAAAACCTTAGAAGGAGAAAGAAACCAAATTTATATTCAATTATCTGAAGTTGATAAAACAAAGGAAGAGCTTACAGAGCATATTAAAAATCTTCAGACTGAACAAGCATCTTTGCAGTCAGAAAGCACACATTTTGAAAGTGAGAATCAGAAACTTCAACAGAAACTTAAAGTAATGACTGAATTGTGTCAAGAAAATGAAACGAAACTCTACAGGAAATTAATAGTAGAGGAAAAATGCCGGTTAGAGAAAGAAGAGAAACTTTCTAAAGCAGACGAAATAATCAGCCATGTCACTGAAGAGCTGGAGACCTACAAAAAGCGAGCCAAAGATCTTGAAGAATTTGAAAGAACTATGCATTTTTATCAAAGGAAGAGCATTCTCCATAAGAAAAAAGCACATAATAATTGGTTGGCAGCTTGGACTGCTGAAAGAAACCTCAATGATTTGAGGAAAGAAAATGCTCACAACAGACAAAAATTAGCTGATATAGAGTTTAAAATAAAACTTTTAGAAAAAGATCGTCATGCACTTGATGTTCCAAATGCAGCATTTGGCAGAGAGCATTTCCCATATGCTCCCTCACCATTGGGTCGGCCTTCATCTGAAATGAGAGCTTTTCTCTATCCTCCGACTTTGTTGGAGGGTCCACTGAGACGCTCACCTTTGCTTCCAGGGGGAGGAGGAAGAGGCCCAGGAGGCCCAGGGAATCCTCTGGACTGTCAGATGACCAATGAAAGAGGAGAAGCAAGCTGTGGTAGGTTAACCAGTCTTCACAGGGCTCCTTCTGGCTCTAGGCCCCTGTCGCCTCTGTGGGAACAGGACCTTAGGATGGTGTTTCCTCCACCGGGACAGTCATATCCTGATTCAGCTTTTCCTCCACAAAGGCAAGACAGATTTCATTCTAATTCTGCTAGACGCTCTGGACCAGCAGAACTCAGATGTTTTAATACACCTTCTTTGGGTAAATTGGATGGGTCAATGCCTTCAGAAATGGAACCCAGTAGAAATGATACCAAAGATAATCTTGGTAATTTAAAGGTGCCTAATTCATCTCTCCCCACTGAAAATGAAGCAACTGGGCCTGGCTTTATTCCTCACCTCTTGCTCCAATCAGAGGTCCATCGTTTCCAGTAGATACAAGGGGCCCGTCCATGAGAAGAGGACCTCCTTTCCCTCCACTTCTTCCAGGAACCATGTTTGGAGCTTCTCGAGATTATTGTCCACCAAGGGTTGTCCCCAGTCCACCACATGCTCCATTTGCAATGACAAATGTCTATTCGCCCAGGGGTTTTCCTCCTTACCGTCCCCCAAGACCTGGATTTCCATCCCCCACCACCGCATTCTGAAGGCAGAATGAGTTTCCATCAGGGTTGAGTCTGACTTCAAATGAGCCTGCTACCGAACATCCAGAAACACAGCAAGAAACCTGGCAACATGTTTGCCCTCTTCAAAAGTAATTTTGACTGATCTCATTTTCAGTTTAAGTAACTGCTGTTACTTAAGTGATTACACTTCTGTTCAGATTGAAACTTAATGGAATTATAATTCTCAGGATAGTATTTTGTAAATGAGGATGATTTAAATATGAATCTTATGAGTAAATTATTTTCATTCTATTTTATTCTAGATAGTATAACTTTTAATTTGATTAATCCACTATTGTATAAACAATGGTGGGAGTTTTATATATGTAATCTTGCAGGTGGGGAGGTTTTAAATTGTCTTTATGCCAAGAACTGTATTTACTGTGGTTGTAGACAAATGTGAAAGTAACTTTATGTTTAAATTTTAATTAATTTTAAAAAAACTATATAAATATGTATAGGTGGGAATGTAGAATACTATGTAACTGTTAGAATATTTAACTTTAAACCAAGATCTATCTTGGAACTCCTGTCTTATAGATTTTATATCCTCTTTCAGTACTTTGATAGTGTAAAACATTTAGAGTAGAATGTATTCCTGTTTCCTCTGTTTTCCTCAAAAACGGTTTCTTCGCCCTCCCTTTCCTTCCCTTTGTCTTCCCTATGCTAATTTCTTCCTTAGTTTGTCATCCTATCATTACATAATTGTATTGTTATTTCTTTTGTTTTATTTTTATTTGGTGGGAACAACTCTATCCAGACCTTTTACTTTCCCCAGAATTATATAGATAGATTTTTCCTGATTTCTTTCCCAACATTTACCTCTGTTGGTGCTCTAATAGTTTTAGTTTTATGTTCTGCTTTTCTCTTGCTGTGGCAAGGGGAAGGAGTAAACCTAAGATTGTGTTTAATTGCAATTGGTGAATTTGATCTCTGATTCAGCTCTCTTCTCTGGAATTCTGTTAAAGGGTGAAATGTGTCTTGTCTCCTGAGAGATGCCCTCAAATTTTGGATTAGTCCTTCATGCAAGCTGGGCCACCAAGCCATTGCTTCTTTTGGGGACAACCTGTCCACCCTTTTAAAAACTATCCTGGCTCACATGCCTCCCACAGCAGTTAATGCCACTCCAGTTTGAATGTAGTAAAAGAAAAGTAAGGATTTGGGACATGATGTGCCCTTATTGTACAGTGGGGCTTCCTATACATTTTCCATCTTCCCTTGAACCATCACTATCCTCAGTGACTTTATGTCTCTTTTCCTCTTGTTCTGTTAAAACCGTGTTTGCTAGTGGAAAAATTTAACTCCTGGTGATTTTTTAATACCAGACCTCTTGCCTTCTTTCCAGTGAGACAAAAATAGAATGGTAAGCCTAGTGGTTTCTTCCTTCACTGTGGAATACTCTTTATCCAAGGTATCAAGGAAGAACTTCTAATCAGAAAAGACAAATATTATTTTCACAACTGGGTAGCATATCTCACTGCCAGAATGGAAGTTAGGTGGGGATTGTAAGATGAAGGAGATTTTTCTGGATTTCTGTCTATGTATTATATCCACAGAACTCTTTCTGGAGGAATTTTATGTTGGGCCAGGCATCCATTTCCAGAGTTTTCCATTTCTAGATACTTCCAAAGTTAGAGCACTGTTCCTAAATAATTTGTTGGCTTTATTTATTAATTTATTGTTCATTCCATTTCATTAGGTTCAGGATGAAACAGGTATTATCATCTCTTTGTGTCTACCTTGCCACCTGTCCCCCGGAATAGGCCCGAATGAGATTGAAAATGAGATTGAAAATGTCACTTCAATTCCTTGTGTCTGACATTGCTTGTCTGTAACTAAGAAAAATAATGTTTGCTTTTGTTGAATGTATTAATTTTTTTCCATGGACCTAATAAACTAAAAAGAAAGTTGAAATAATAAATAGTGAACCATTATAAAAATTTGTGTTGAGTCAGTCTTCCTTCAGAAATTTTTCCTCAAACTCTCTTACCAAATTTTATCTATGAATAAATTATCATATGCACATTATCTAAGAACATTATCCATGAACCGGGTAGCACATTATCTATGGTAGCACATTATCTATGAACTGGGTTGCCAATCCTCACCAATCCTTAATCTTCTTTTCCTTTCTTCCCTCCCTCCCTCCCTTCCTCTTTCTTTCTTTCCTTCTTTCCTTCTCTGTCTCTCTCTCTCTTCTTTCAAGGGAAGTATTTCTGTATGGAGATCTCACTTCTAAAGGTGTGGAGGGATAACTGGATGGCTTTCACTAAGATACAGTTGACTTAAACCAACTGAGCTGCCTGGTCTTACTAACATTCTGCATCCATTCTCTCCTCTGCAGTTTTAAAATAGCAGCCCGTGTCCACTGTATCCTTACGAAGTCCCATTCCTTCCCCCGGTTGACGGTTGACTTCTACTATTCCTTAAGCTACCAGTTTAAATATCATTTGATATGATTTCTCTGGGACCCCTGTTTTACTCTCCAAGACTGGCTGAGGTGCCCCCCATGTGAATCCTCTCCCATAACATACAGTCTCTACCCTTGTCTGCAGTGATCAGCCTGTATGGTGATGAACTATATATTTTTATTTCCTGTTGGATAGTAAGCCAGGAGGGCACGGACTAAGCACCCAGTTCAGTCCTTTGCACATCATTGCCTTTCAATGAATATGTGTTTCATGACTAAATTTTTTAAAACTTAATAATATTTCCAAAATTTTTAAGGCATTTTGAAGTTCAAAATAGTCAAGTTGGTTCTCATCACCTCATCTTTTGTGGTTTATTGAAAGGAATGCATACATGCTCTCAATTCACAAACGTATGATTGTGTGGACCAAATTTTTAAAGGAATTTGGCAAAACACCAGAGCTAGGTTACATTCTTAAGCAGCTGAGCAGCCACAGGTTTCATCACACTATTATTAATGGCTTTATTTTCCCATCACTGTTGCATCATTATGCCCTTTGCAGAATTCATCAAAGGCACAGTCTCTGCCCTGAGGCTTTGGATTTTATCATTCTGCTGCCTGAAGTCATCCATCTGAGAAGCCGGGTAATACACTCCTACCTCTGAAGGGTGTTGAACATCAATTAAGTAATGCTCAGCTGTCTTCAGTATGAAGATGCATTCAAATGAACATGTCCCTCATCTATTCTATTAATAATTATACCCCGTGTTTCAGCAAGGTGGCTAAGACCACAGAGCATTCAGATTTGCAAGGATTTTGCATGCAGTGCAAAGCCTGTTGTCTTTAAATGTAAAGTGTCAATAGGAGGCATTAAAATGTCAGCACCTTTTCAGGAATTCCGCTCATTAAAACGACTGCAAAAGAGTCCTCTGAATACATCACTGTAGACCAAGTTATAGTCTAAGCATTAGATCAGCTAGGAGCCTCCAGAGACTTCCTGAAGTGTGAGGAACAAGTGTTTTAAATGGTGGGGTGACATGGTGGAAGGGGGTCCTGGAAGAATCTGAATTTGCCGGACACTCCCATCCCCCAACTTGGCAGTCGATCAACTTGACACTTCCCGGCTCTAATTTTCTTCCTCCTCGTTTTTATTTCACGGCATTCCCAATTATGCAGCTGCCAGGAAAGGAAGCAATGGAATTTCAATATAGGAAAGACTAGGCCACTTCTTTTCGGACTAGACACTTATGCACAAAGAGCCAGTAGGTCACATCTTCTGCCGGTTCGGAGATGCTTCCAGGACAACCAAGCAAGGTCGAGCGACAACATCAGCCTCTTTGGCTTTCCTCAGCAGTCACACGATTTCTCAGCTGCCCAGGGGATCATCTATAATAGGCCATTTTATTTGGTAAATGTTTCCCTACTTACTGAAGAGTTCATTATTAATGACCAGAAAGGGAACTCCTGCCTCCCGTGGCAGAAGTTGATACATTTGCTCTGTATAATTGCTGTGTATAGTTAACCATGTGGTTGTGCAGCTGAAATAAATTGCCTTCTTCCCATAAGAGCCTCCCTGAGTGTCACGGGAGAGCTAGAAGGAAGCTGGCCGCAGAGACTAATCTCTTCACTAACGCCATAGACGATTCCAGAAGCTGAAGACAGATGGTAAGTTTGAGATGAATAGCATTTTTTAATGGCTTCAAAATAGCTCTGTCTGTAAACAGCTTTTCTGAATGACAGTACGTAGTACGATTTAATTTATCTATTGCTGCTGTTGTTAGATCCTCTGAGAACTTTCCCCCAGTCCCTGTATTAGGACAAACACTAATCTCACTTCAAAGGGGGAAAATCTAGAACGGGAGGAGGCAAGTGGAACGAAAAGGTAAGAAGAATTTCGACCTACAAATAAATGACAGGTATCCTCCAAACACAGCAGTCTCTTGTAGCCTGGAACTTGAAGAAAGTAACTCTGTGTTAAGATTTAAGAGCAGAAGTTGAACTCTGAACTCTGAAATGAAGTAGGCCCAAAGACTAGGAGAAAAGATCATGATAAGACAGCATACCTTGGTCTGTTTCTGATTGATAAGAATTCACATTCCACCAATGAGATTAATCCTTTGTCATTCATGCACATGGTTTGGGAAATGCTACTACGGGTGAGAACACAGGTATTTTTCATAGGCTATCAAGGAAAAAAATGAGTATAAAAGGAAATTGGGGCCAGATGTGGTGGCTCACGCCTGTAATCCCAGCACTTTGGGAGACCAAGGCAGGCAGATCTCTTGAGGTCAGGAGATCGAGACCATCCTGGCTAACACGGTGAAACCCCGTCTCTACTAAAAAATACAAAAAACTAGCCGGGCAAGGTGGCGGGCACCTGTAGTCCCAGCTACTCGGGAGGCTGAGGCAGGAGAATGGCGTGAACACGGGAGGCGGAGCTTGCAGTGAGCTGAGATTTGGCCACTGCACTCCAGCCTGGGCCACAGAGCGAGACTCCATCTCAAAAAAAAAAAAAAAAAAAAAAAAAAAAAAAAAAAAAAAAATACAGGGTGGTGTGCCTGTAGTCTCAGCTACTCAGGAGGTTAAGGCACAAGAAACAC